ATGAAATAGTTTTCAAAGGTGTTGTGATAATAGGAAACAATGTGCCTTTTAAGATAGTTGGTATCGGTAAGGTCAAAATTATGATGTTTGATATGACAGTCACGACACTTGGTGAGGTGAGACGTGTTTCAGATTTAAAGAGAAGTATTATCTCCTTGAGGACTCTTGATTCAAAAGGGTACAGGTACATGGGTGAAGGTAGAGTTCTAAAAGACAATAAAGGTGCCAGAATTATGATAAAAGGGCTGAGAAGGTCCATGTTATATGTCTTGGAAGATCGAAGATCACGTTTGATGCAGTTGTCACTAAATTGAAGAGAGGAGATAATAGACCTCGGGAGAGGTTCGATGAAGCTGATGTGGTTGCTTATGGTTTGATAAGCGTTGACTCGGGTGGACTTGGTTGTGATTTGGTTGATCGTGGGGATAATTCGAGCAAAATTGGTATTGAAGAACCTTCCAATAGCTTAAGTGGGGTTAGTTGTGATCTTGGTTATCGTGTAGCTCGTGGGAGTAATTTGAGCAAATTTGATAACTCGGATTGAGTTAGTTGTAAGCTTAATGATTTTGTTGTTCATGGTGATCATTCAAGCAATGTTGGTGCCCAAGGTAATTTTGTTGGTAAGTAGTGCTTGGATTCAGTTCATAGTTGTTGAGTTGACCAAGTTGAGATGAATTCTTGTTGAGTATTTGATTGGAAATACTGTTGAAGAAGTATTGGAAGTTGATAGTAGACTTGAAGATGTCTTGAAGGAGACTACGATGGATTAAGAGAGGTTTTATGTGAAACGGCTGCTCGCTGAATGCCCATGGGACGCTAGATTGCTCATAGCAGGGACCTTGCGCTGACTTGGTACTAGGATGTCGCTCAAGCAGTGGTGAAGTCCGAACAGACACTAATTCTGATTCTGGTAGTTTTTTACTCCTATTTCATTCCAAATATTCCATTATTGGTTTTTCCCATTGTATTGGGACTTCTCCTCATATTAAATTCTTCATTGTATTAATTCTCCTAGTATGTTAGGGGATTGTTGTATTATATATATATGTGGTTTATTACACATATTTGATAGAATATAACAAAAAGATGATTCAATTAATAGAGAGAGACTCGCAGATAGAGATATTCATGAGAGTCTTCAGAGATCTAGTCTAACATATTGTAAATCCTTACTTTCATTATAATGAATTCTTTGCATCTGCTCATGATTTTTCCTAGTTGGATTTTCATATAATCTTGTGTTCTTGTTGCTTGATTTCATATTGCCATATTATCTCATTATTTTCTAACAAATTGGTATCAGAAGTGGGTTGTAAGTTTCCGAACAATCATGGAAACTCACAAAAGCAGCACCAAATTTTGTAATATGTGCAATTTTATCAGTTTGATTGATGAAAGTGAATTGGGATAACCTAGTCTATTCTGTAGAGTTAAAAAAAAAAACTGAACCGAAATCTGATTTGCTTACGATGTGGTCAGTGTCTGTTGCAATATGTATGTTGCAATATGTATATAATTATGCAGTGCCTCATATCGTTCTATTCCAAGTAACATGATATTATTTCTGTTATTAAGGAAATGGTCAGAAAATTCTATGTAATTGGTGCTTCTACATTCATCCAAATTATAATTGAAGGGAAAATGTTGACACAATGATGCTATGCCCATTGGGCTTATATAGTTGGCCCAGCTGGAAATCAATGGAGACCCAGCTAACTAAAAATCTGTTGTTCTAATTGGTGCAAGAAAACGTGATTTGCTTGAAGGCTTGAAACCGTGTTTCTCACTTACCTGATGAAATGAACGCTAATGGAGTCACCACGTGTCACCTCCAACGCCGTTAGATTGGTGACTGTTGTGTGACTCATTTAAAAGGGCTTCTAGGGTTCGAGAGACTCGTGATTTTTCTTGCTTCGAGAGTCTTCCAATTTTCTTCTCATCACTGCGCCGTTCTCTCGAGTTTCTCTCTTCTTCACTTGAGAAATCAAATGATCTCATTTGATTTCTGGTTTTTCTCTCAATAGCTGTAATCTTGAGTGATTTACTTGTATTGGGTGTTGGTTCTTGTGTGAACTGGATTGTTAGTGAAGATTTGTGATATCAAAGGGCTTGTCTAAGTGCTAATCTCTTTTGTATTCTTCCTGCGGGTTTGATTTATACAATAACAGTGGTTATACTTGTGTGATTGAAGCACAGTTGGATGAACTTTGGCATGTGGGTCTTATGAATAAAATACGGTTTCTTCTTTTTTATTCTTGCAGTTTACTTAGTATTTGTTCAGACTTATAGTACCTGAGTTCGGTTTATTAAGATTAATATTAGCTCATTTAGTTTCTGATTTTTGCACTTATATTTGTTGATTTATTGTGAGCTAATGTTGTGAACTCCTCCCAACAATACTATTATTATTTTACGTGTTAAGAACAATACCACAATATTAATTGGATGCTTAAACCAAGTGTATGCAATTCCCTTTTATATAATTTTTTTCCTAACATATTTGTGCATGGTTTGATGCACCCATGATTGCGGCTTATATATCATTAAGTTCGCCGAGTTGTTTATAAACGATAAAATTGATGAAATGGGGAACAATTTTGATCCGAACGCATCAAGATCTAACCTAACCTATCAACTATTCGAGCACGACTGCGGGAAGCATATTGAAGCATACGATATGATTTTAACGTCATACTTGTAGCGTTAGGTAGGACAGGAAGATGAAGGGGTAGTTATTGGCTAGAGTGTCTGAGAATTGTTTGTTTTGTGGTTTTTAGGAAGTTGGTATGTAGTTAATTTTGTGGTAGATTTCAATTAGTATTGTTTTTGTATGAAATCTGTACCAGAATGGAAGAATCTTAATACAAGGGATAATTGTAGCAAAAGCTCCAAACCTTATAAACATTAACAAATTTTTCCCAAACTTTTGATTTGTTGCAGCCGTCACCCCTAACCTTTCCAATCATTGCATGTAAGACCCTTTTGGATGGTTCCATCCATTTTTCTGTCAGTTGACCTAAAAATTAAGTTTGACCATAATTTTAATCAGTTAAAAGGGGGTAAAATGGTAAATATCTATTAAAATAATTAACTAAAAGGATAATTGATTAAAAAATTTAAAAAAGGAAAAGAAAAGAAAGGATCCCTTCTTTACCCCACCTCCACCTCCACCCGACCCCACCCCACCTCACCTCACCTCACCTCACAACAAAAAATCAGATCATTAACAAAGATTTTCATTCCACCATTCTCAAAAGAATAAAATATTATTTTTTTAATTTTGACATTTTTACTGTTTTTAACGACAAATTTGACGGTAAGGGATTTTTTCACACAAAAAAGGTTTAAAATATGGGCGTTTTCTGTGATTTCCAATAGGCGGGGTATATATCGCAAATGGAAACATTTCTAGAGGTTGTCTATCTATTAATCCTTGAAAATAATTTATGTATAAGTTAGTATTTATAGTTATATTTATATTCCATATTAAAGTGCGAATTCTTTTTTAATCATAGGGCATATGCAAATTTTTCCGTTTAAAATGAAGAATAGCCTCTATTTAGTGTGGATTAAAATTAAAATTTTAACAAATTTGCATAAAAATTAATGAAATATGAAATTGAAAAGTTGTAGAGCTCATAAAATATGTAGTTAAAATTAATTGCTGACTTTAATTTAAATTAAAATTTAGATTTTAATCGTACAAAACAAATACATATCTAAAACTTATTTAGCCCTTGTTTGTCTCCTTATAACATTGTTTTTTTCGAACTCATCTTCAACAACACATTAACACAATAAAATATTTTATACATAAACTCAAAATTTTCTTCACTTTTTAACCATAAGTTCTCCAAAAAATCACTAAAAAATTTATTTCCCCCAAAAACTCTTTAAAAAGGAGACACACAATGGCTTAATCCCTCCTCGACAGCTGACTTAAACCTAAAAGTCAAGTAATGTGACGGTAGTTGCAAACAAATTATCATCCCCACACTAATCTGTAACTCCAATAGACTTCAAGTTTGAATTTTAATTATAAAGTAATTAATTATAAACTATAAAATCAAAGCGGTTTGACAGGATACTTTTTTTGTAGGGAATTATTCAACAAAATACATTGCCTGCACTACTACTTTTAATTAAACACTACCAGAGGATAGTACAAATATATAACAGAACATCACCTAACATACTCATTCATCTATTAAGAGTATATCACCAAAACTTAATCCACGTAAATGTGTCAAGATCAATATCGTCAAATCAACTCTCATACGATATTCAACATATTGAGCCTTTTTTGGTACCCATTGTTTTCAAAACACATTTTTCTCTTTCTTATTTTCAATCACATTTTTTAATAAAATAATATTAAATGCAAATCTAAAATTTTTCCTTATTTTTTAACTACACATTCTCCAATAAAATACTATTTCAAAATGCATTTTCGACAAAAAATGGGGATCAAATAGACGCTGAATTAAGAACCCCAAAAAGGAAGCGATAAAAAACGAGCACTTTAGTAAATGTAAAACTGCTCGAGTGAGCAATCAATGTACGAGATCTTATTGCACCACTGCTGGGATTAAAAGTAAAAATCCAGCACTGATGGAGAATCGAGCTCACATACTCTACAAACAAACTACTTTCAGAAATTATAAGAATATGATTCATTATAACAGAAGAATAATATCCAACATAACCTACTCTACACATTGATTTGTGTAAATGTGCCTCCTCAAAAGAAAGATAAAAGCACATAGTTAGGAACTTTACAACTCATTAATCCTAAGATGATAAAAAGAATTAAAAGCTCTTTGGCTAATCTCAGAATAACCTTTTTATACCTTTGCATCTAAAGAATCTTCAGCCAGGAAATTTACAGTTCCTTGCTGAAGAGAAGCAAAAAATATCTTGAGGCTTAATTGCCACCAAAAACTATCATTTTCCCTGTGCTACTGTGGCAAAATTTCAGGAATATGGAGCAAAAAAATACACTAATCATCATCATCGGTGAATAAGGCAAATGAAAAGGGCTTAAATTTATAGCCATCGCCATTGTAGAACTTGTTTTGAAATTCAACCCAATGGAGACGCAATGCGTGCAGGAAAGCACTAAGACTTTCCATCATTAGTAGTATAAAAGCTGTAGCAAAAGCAAAAACTGCCAGACCAATGAATCGTATGACGATGTTGTCATACCTGCATTCATCAACAAATACAGGTGTAAAACATGGATAGATCTCACTTGCAGTTGAGCATAGGAAGAAGACGAGTATTATAAGCTAGAGCAGGATTATCTCATTTCCACCTACTCTCCTTTCATATACATAATCGCATTAAGTGTAGGGCAAAAAAAAAATTTGCTTGTGGGCCTCGTACACCATGTAAAAGTCAGCAGGATAGTAAGTTAAATTGGACAAGGAACAGAATGCACAAGAGCAGGTCAGGATAAGTACTTACCCCCAGGCAAGGAGAAGAACTTTTTCATAGAAAACAGTTGATAATTCTGAGTGAGCCAAACTGCAATAACACAAGGATAACAATTACCGCATGAACAGACTCATAAATAAAAAATACATTGAACCATAAATAAAAAATTCCCCCACCTCAAAGCCCACAGCCGAAGATATGATGCAGTATTTGAAACTGCACCAAGTACAAACTCAATAGCGTGTATCATCTGATGCACAAAGACCTCACTGAAATTGAATTCATCAAGGTGTGGTTGCCTTGCAGAGTCAGGTTCCTCCTCATTATACATGTCTGAGGTTCCAAGAATTCCATATGTCCGACCTTGAAATCTCTTAGATAAGTAAAAGAAGTTGGTTGAGTCAATCACTGATTCTTAGGTTTCAGGATCTAAATGAGTAGCTCTAATACACCAATACAACAGTACAAAATGAAATTCAACTTACAAAACATTATTATGACAATCAACAGCCATGATCTACTTATTATATGGATTTCATTAGTAGGATAAATAAGCTATCTAAAACACCAAATCACGATGCTGCATCTCAGGAAAATGTAGACTTGTACATTCTCCAAATTTCTTACTTCCAATTTTAGAATTCGACAAATCAGCCAGTGCATGATGCTTAACATCATCAAAGTAGTTTTGAATATCCATATGAGATGAATATTTCAACAAGATACTGAAACAGTTATATAAGTTTATATTTAGCTCCTGTTTGCGCTCCATTAAAATTAGAATTTGGGAAAAAAATGTGTTTTGGAATGCTGATTTTTTGAAGAATGTGTAGTTAAAAAAGAGGAAAAGTTTCAGATATATGTATAATATTATTTTATTGGATAATATGTAGTTGAAAATAAGAAAGAGAAAAATTGTATTAATTCAAGAATGGAGCTCAAACAGGGGCTTAGATTCAGCACCACTCTTTCATTCTGATATTCTCAATAATGTAGTACTAATTTTTCTCAGGAGTCGGATATAATATACATTCTTTTGACAACATTTATATTACTAAAACACTAAACCATTAGCAAAACATATATAAATAATAAAAAAATCGCAGGGTTACTGTAGTTAAACGCACACAGGCATACCCCAGTCCAAAGTGAGATAGATCCAAAGTTTCCAGAGAAATTAACTAAAAGGCAACTATATAGATCTAAGGAATAGGGGAAATAATTGTTGAGGCCAAAGTTTCAGGCAAAAGGAGGAAAAAGGAATTATTAATCAAAGACATTTTAACAAGGAAATGATTCTTCAAATATTATCATAATTATTTCTTCATACAGGAAAAAAGAAAAAGAAGCCACAAATGTACAGAGAGGAGAAGAGACATGCACAATGCAGCATAAGTTCTTAACAAAGGAAGTGATGCGTATGTAAGAAGGGCAGAGAAACAAGAAATACCCGGACTTAAACAAGAAGGGAAGTTTTACGACCCTTTACTTTGATTGATAAAATAAAAGTTGGAAAGATTCTATAAGGGTCCGTTTGATTGTAAAGATGGAAAATAGGTAGAAAGAAAATGAATTCCAGGGAAAACAATTGCTTAGAAAATGTTTTGTAGGGAATTTTTAATTAAGTGTGTGATTGGTATAATTTTCCACCCGGAAAATTTTTAAATTTTGTATTCGTTTGGCTTTATTT